TTCCATTTGCTTCTGTGCATTTAAAAAAATACCTCAATGACTGTCTTTTCTGTTTTTTTCTAATTCTTTTGACAGTACTATTTTTAGCTTACCTTCTTCGTGGAAACTCTGTCCCTAAGTTGGGTGAAAAAAAAAAGAAAAAATATTTGCAACAACTGTGCAGTATGTGTTTACCCATTGGCCATATCCAAAAATAGCTATCTCATTGTACACCATGAGACCATTACCTTCTCTGTCATCACTGGTCCTCTGGAGCAGAGATGTCAAACACCAGACCTTTACCTACAACACTCTCTAGTATGGGCCAACTGGATTAAAATGTAATTAAATGTAAATTTAACAAAATAAATAATAATACAGTAGAACCTAGATAATTTTAATATATGCTTTTCCATGTCAGTATGCTGTCCACAGGGATCCTTTTGTATTGTTTAGTGACCCCCTTCTATTTAAGTTTGACGTCACAGCTCTGATTCACTGATTAGATTTCTTAATTCTCTTCTAGGAGCTTAGATTTTAATAGGGGCAAACAGCATATGAAAGGGGACAGGCAGCATGTGTGGAGATGGCCAGTAAGTAGTGTGGGGGTCTGATTACAGGCCATAGTGAAAGCTCACTTATCAGAGCCTGGAGTCCAAGGTTCTGGTGAGAGGAGGAAGAGGATGTTGGCTGCAGTGCTGGCAGTATAGTCTGGTGTGGGATGGCCTGGTTCTTAGCACAAAAAGGGAAAGCTTACCTACCACAGAACCTAGCATACCAGGAGCACATTCAAGGTTTTGGGATGGGCTTAGGGGAGGGGAGATGAGAGTGATGGCTGTGGTGCTAGAAGCATAATGTAGAGGATTAGGTCAAGCAGAGTCCAGTGATTACATGTCAGGTAGCTGCAGAGGAGATAACTTGTTCAGGAATAAGTAGGACTCCATGGCCTCAGAAGTTCCTTTGAGCTCTTAGATCCAGGGATTTGATGATATCTCATTATAACACAATGACCACTTACCAAAAGGAGGAGAACTTGGACCAAATGATCCATCATCACTATTATACCAGGCCTGTCACTTTCAACCAGTATTTCCCCTGTGCAAAAGCACAGGCTCTCCATGGTCTCACTAAACTTTGACTACTAAATGTAAGCTGATATTTGAAGACATGTTAGTCCCCATCTCACTGTTGTTAAGGACTGGTAAGGAGTCTCCTAAATTTATGTTTTTGAGTGGACATATTTTCCAGAAACACTGGACCCAGAGCATGAAGGCAGGTCCTGAATGTGCCAAGAACAAAGTTATTACCTCTCCCCCCCCCCGCCCTCTGCCCTGACATAATTTGTTGTTTGCATCCCAAACTGGACTCCTTGTGTGTCCTTGGGAATCAAGACGGCACCAGACAGTCTGCACTGGGCTTATGCAGCTGAGACCCTTATAGATAAGGAGACCATCCTATTTTTATGATCTTGATTGAGGTTTGTTTTTTTTGTTTTTTTGTTTTTTTTTTAGGCAATTGGGGTTAAGTGACTTGCCCAGGGTCACACAGCTAGTAAGTGTCAAGTGTTTGGTCTGACACCGGATTTGAATTCAGGTCCTCCTGACTTCAGGGCCGGTGCCCCACGTGATTGAGTTCTTGAGGGAAAAGAATGTGGCTTTTGCCATTGCCTTGCTCCTCCCCTTTCTGGAGGGATTTTGTCCTTTTCCCACCTTTACTGCACCTTTCCCCCTCCCCTGCCACACTCCTTTAGGTGGAGATTCTGGTTTATCTCCTCCTTCCTTTGTCCTACTGTCATAAGTATGCAAACTTCTGAAAGAACTATGAACTCTTTGCTTTGGGTTCCACATGCATGTTCATTTCTCTTGTAATAAATCTAGTTTTCACATAAGTTTCATGAAATTGTGATTTCCAAAGTGCCATTGCAGTCAAGTGCCAGTAGATTGAGCGGTTTATAGCAACTCTAATCTTATAATAGACAACCTTCCCAGCCTTTGTCCCAACTCTGGTCTGTCTTTTATATATACCTCTAAGTGCCTTGTGGAATTCAGTTCAAACATTTTGTTAAGTGTCTATTTTTTGCTAGGAATGCAAAGACTAAAATGAACCAACTTTTGTCCTCAGGGAGTTTACATTCTGCTAGAGAATTCAGTATATACACAGCTAAGTCAAACATGACACTATGGAAGGATAGAGCATTTGTGTTAGAAAATGAGATAAAGATAAAAGTTTGTTTGTACTGAAAGTGGGATTCTGTAATGGTGAAAATGAAGGTTAATCATAGAGTCTTTACGCAATTTGTTGATGACATTTAGAAGAAAAATGAATTTTCTTCCCAAATATGCACTTCATTTCTATCAGATATAGGGTACTGTTTGCCATATTGTTTAGGATATATTTTCCCCATAATCTGAGAGATTAATGCATTGCATATAGTGTAATAAAATTAGATTTTAATAAACTTACTTTTAAGTGCATTATGTTTAATTTTTTATTTTGATAAAAGTTGGCATTAGGTTGAAGATTTATTTTAAAATAGCCACAGAATGACAATACAAAACAGGGGAAAGAGCACTGGACTAAGAATCAGGAGACCTGAGTCTGATTCCATCCTTGCTACTGTTTCTGGGCCTCAGTTTCTTCATCTATAAAATATGAGAAGTAGAAAGTATCTGCTATCTAACATTTGATCATTTTATGATCTTTAATGTAGTGACACTATATGGATATAGAAAGTTTTTAAAGAGAAATGTACCTTTTTTAAAAAAGTATCTTGAATGAAGTTTTCGTTAAGAGTTTGTGTGTGGAAATTTGTTTTATATAGAAGGGGCTTAGCTGAAGGCGTGTGTGTGTGTTGGTTTTGCATTGGGTCAGATTCAGTCTAATTTTGCCAACTTCATGGAATGTCATGATTATGTAGTTGTGTGGCAAAGGTATAAAGTAATTGCATAGAAAAATGAAGAATGTCTTGAAAATTGCTTTATGGAATATCTTACTTGAATATTTGTCTAATTTAAAAGGACACTGACTTCTTAGTTTTCTGTAAAGGTTTTTGATGTGTGTATGTGTTTTATCACAGTAATCAGAGGTATATTTTAAATTAAATCATAACTTTAAATGTAGTCATTTCATAATTGAAACTTTTAAAAGAGACAGTATCGAGTATGTAATCATAAACTAAAGATACTTTCTATGACCAAACAAGGAACTACTTTCTTTAGTCATTAAAAAAAAAATAAAGCATTTCTGCAGTCCTTTTTTTGGCCGGGGGGGGGCAGGGGGGGGGAGGGGGGGAGGTGGAAAATGTATATTCTTCAACTACTTTGCATTTCAAAAGTTCAGTTTATGTCATTTGTTTGGAACTTAGGTAATTCTGGATACTTGAAACCTTTGTCAATGAAACACTAGTGTTGGCAGGTTCTGGTGAAAAATTTCAGTGCAAGGCAAATAAAAGACAAAATGTCTCTGATCTGAGAACCAGTCCAAATTCAGAGTTGGCCTCAGGAAAATGAATTTTTTATCTGCAGCAACACTATCTACTAAGTTTTGATCTATATTGATAGTGAGGGAATACTCATGCCAATGAAATTTAGTCCTTAAGGGTGTATAAGTAATGGAACTTAGAGCACATTTTCTATTGGAAATAGTGTTACAGAGGATGACAGGTCATTTTTCCTATTCAGCCCTCAAAACCCTATTTAACCAATATAGTATTAATAGTATTGTAGAATAGGGGTTCTTGACTTTTTTGTGTCATAGGCTCCTTTGATAGTCTGGTAAAATCTATGGAACCCTTCTCAGAATATTTTTAAATACATAAAATACATAGGGTTACAAAATTATTATATTGACATGCAGTTATCAAAATATTAGACAAGCTTACAGACTCCAGGTTAAGAACCTCTGCTATAGAGCCTAACTGCCATTTATAACATTCATCCTGTGGTATAATGTATTATGAGTTTGAATTGGAGATACTTAGAACCTATCTCTTTCTGCTGCAGTGTCAACAGCAAGATTCTTCCCTGACCCTGTACAAATAACTCAAAGGCAGTAGTTCCCAGAGACATCAGTAGCTCTGGCTTTCCTTGGACAGCAGGAGTGAGGATAAATAATAGAAGTAGTATGTATTTATTGCTCCATCATTCATGAAATCAAGTGTAGATGAATTAGGGAGAGGCGCATTATTCATGAAATAAGATGTGACATTAAGATCTGTAAGAGCTGTTATGCATAATGTTTTTGTTCAAGCAATAAAGTCATGACCCTGATTTGCATCATCAGAATCATGTCACAGAATTTGTGTTTTGCTTGCTTGATTGTAAGTGTAGAGATGGGGGTCTTGGTTTCTTCATGAGTAATACAGAATGACACCCTCACTTTTGAAAAAGGTCTTTCCTTTTCTGTGCTTTGTAATTTTTCTAATTCTGTTCAGTCTGTTGGGTTAGTTTTTTGTTCCTCTACTCATCAAAATCTTAGCTGCATCCCAAGACCCAAGGCAGATCCCTGTTTTATAAAACCTTTGTTTACATGCCACACTAACCTACAGTAATATCCCTCTAATGTGGACTCTCTTATGCTTTTTTGTCTAGTTTCATACTTAGATGTCTAGTCTTGTAGTTTTTTTCCACTGTTGCATATTTTAATCTTTCCCAGTAGATTTTAAGGTCATGAGAAATAGAAATAGTACTATCTTAGACTTTGTATTATCCACAATGCCTAGCACAATTTCTTGTCTCTAGTAGTTGCTGAATAAGTATTTATTAATGATGATAATAAGTGAATACTAGACTTCTTATAATTTAATAACCTTTCGTTTTTGCCTATAAACAAGCACTGCAGTTGTTGATTTCTGTTATTTTCATGCATATATTTTTACTAATTAGAATTTATATCAGTTTTACATAAATGCAAAAAAGCTTACTCTAAAACCCACTTGATCTTAATATGCACATTTTATTCATTTATTAGTTTTTTGGTTTATTTTGTATTTTTTTTTTACCCCCTTTCTATTTGTTGCATAGAGAAGCTGCAACCAGTTTTGCAATTTCCCAAGTCACAAACGGACGTCTATAATGACACTACTAACCTGACATGCCGCAATGGACATCTCCAGTCAGGTGGGTTTGGGTTAACTGACACATATGTAAGTGAGCACCTTTCTTAATTTCAAACCATAAGACTTGCATGCAAAGTTGGATCAACTAATCCCATACTTAGAGAATATGTTTTTCTGTTTTAGAAGTTTTCGTTTTCAAGGCTCTGTTGACTGCTTTGACATTAAATGGCATATTTTTTTTGCTTGCATTTTCCTGTTGCTAATGATACTTGTAAGTAAAATTATGTTAGGAAGACATTATTAACTAAAAGGCAAAACAGTTACATGCCTCTGTTGTCCTTTATGCTTTTGTGCATAGTCCATTTAATGTAACACTTTTTCTAATTGATTTTTAAAATTCATTTTCTCAGAAAGGACATGAAACTTATGCTTTTGTGTCTTTTAGATTATGGAAGTAATTTTTGAAAGTAGAATGGTAGATTTTACTTTGTGATTTTCACTGTTTTCATTGTTTTAGAATTGTAGTTTATATATTCTAATTATGCTTTAATGTAATGTGTACATTATGCATATATCTTTATATATAGTTTATGAATATTGTATCATAATATTAAAAGCTTGAAGTTGGATTTATGTAGAAAAAGAAATTGGAGCGTTCAAACAATTCTAATCAATCACTATGGAATAGATGCAATTTATTATACTTGCTTGATCAGTGGATGGCAAAACTAAGAAGAAATAAAATGCCGTAGAGTTTTCAAGCTATTGGTCTGTTTCATTATCTAGATGATTTTATATGCCTTTTTTTTCCTCTTTTTATGTCCTCTGAAAATTACTACTCACTGTAAACTGTTGTAAGAGCAATTTAGGTCAGATGTTAGAAACCTTCCTGGCTGTACTATAAAGATTACGAAATATTGAAATATAGGAAAGATTGCAGAGTAGCTTTCTTTGAGAAATTCTTTAAAAGGTAGACAGATGTTTTGCTGAACTGATTTAGGAAGTTTTCTGATATCCTTTTTACCTTTAAACTTTGATTTTAACATAAATTTGATTAAGTTATCACAGAACCACAAAATCTCAGAATTGGAGGTGACTTCAGAGGCTATTCAGTTTGGTTAAATTTAGAAAACGTCTAGTTCCATGCCTTCACCTGACAGTCATTTTTCTTGGAGGCCTTTTGTGAGAGGTCTGTTCTACTTTATTCTAGCTCTAAAGTTATGAAATTATGTCAATCCTAGATCTGCTTCTGTGCATTTTCCACCTCCTGCTTGTAGATTTACCCTCTGGGGCAAAACAGAACAATTCCTCTTCCCTATGATAATCCTTCAAATACTTGAAAACCATTACCATGTTCCCAAACTAAACATCTTGATTTCGTTTAAAAAGCCCTTATGGCATGATGTCAAAGCATTTCATTCTCCTGCTCACAATGCTTTGTGCACTCTCTTTTTTTTTGTGCTTTGTTTTTTAAAAATTTCATATTATTTTTATCTTCAGCTTAAACACCAAATAAAGCAAGCATTTCTATATACATTGTAGAACAGGAGAGGAATGTACATGAAAGAGTGAGTTTCCATTACGTAGTTTGCTTTTCTTTTTAAGTTTATGATAAACTCAATATCCAGCTCTCAAAGTTGCATCGCTTGTATCTGATTCCTTCTGACCTTCTTTTTGTTTTTATTTTTGGAGGGAGGAACCCTGTCCCCACCTCCCTTCCACTCCTACACCCTCCCACTCTCCCCACATTGAAAAGAAAAAATCATTGTAACACATATGCATGGTGAAGCAAAACCACACTGGTAATATCCAAAAAATTTATGTCTCATTCTGCAACTAGAATCTATCACCTCTCTGTCAGGAAGTGGGTAGAGTGCTTCTTCATCAGTCCTTCTTAGTCATTGATGGTTATTGCCTTAATCAGAGTTCTTGAGTCTTTGGAAGTTATTTATCTTTATAGTGTTTTTGTTACGCAAATTATTCTGGTTCTTCTCCTTTTGCTCTGTATCAGTTCTTATAAAGCTTCCCAGGATTCTCTGAAACCATTACTTTCACAGTATTTTATGGTACAATAATATTAATTTACATTCATATTATGTTTATTTCCCAGTTGATGGACATCTCTTTAGTTTCTGTTTTTTTGGTATATCAAAGAGAGTTGCTATAAATATTTTTGAACACATTTTTTTTTCCTTCTTTCTTTCATCTCTTTGGGCATAAAACTAGTAATGGTATCTAGGTCAAAGGATATACCCAGTTTGCTGACTTTGAGGGTTTAACTACAAATTATTTTTCAGAATGTTTGGACCAATTCACTGTTACATCAGTACTATACTAATGTGCCTATTTTCCTGCAGCCCTATAAACAATTCTCATTTTTGTGTGTGTGTCAGCTTATCATCAGTCTGATAGATATGAGGTGGAATTTCATAGGTGCTTTCATTTTTGCATTTCTTTAATACTTAGTGATACAGAGTATTTTTCCTTTTGGTTATTGAGAACTTAGATTTCCTTCTTTGAAAACTGTTCATATCCTTTGGTGATTTATCTCTTGGGAAATGGCTCTTATGAATTTGAATCAGTACCTTATATATCTTGGATATGAGACCTTTATCAGAGAAACTGGCTATAAGATTTTTTTTTCCCCATTAGCTGTTTCCCTTCTGATGTCAACTGCATTAATTTTGCTTATGCAAAAACCATTTTAATTTTGTGCCATCAAAATTATTCACTCTGTCTTGTGTGATCTTCTCTGTCCCTCTTTGGTCATGAACTCTTCCTGCCCAGTCCATAGTTGTGAAAGGCATTTTCTTCCTTTCTCTACTAATTCATCATTTGACTTTTTATCTCAAAGTCATATATAAATATACATATATACACACACATATATTATATGTATCATATCATATGTATTATATATGTGTATATGTATGTGTATACATACACTTGGAGCTTATCTTGGTCTATGGTGTGAGATGATGATTTGTATCTAATTTTGGCCATAAGTGCTTTTCAGTTTTTCCAGCAGTTTTTGTCCATCAGTGAGTCCTTATCCCAGTAGTTGGGATCTTTTGGCTTATTGAATATGAATACTATGCTACTATGTCCATTTTTTTCTGAATGTTGTGTACCTAATCTGTTTCCTTGATCAGTCTTTCAGTGTTTAATTCAGTATCAAGTAGTTTTGCTGATGGTGGTTTTGCAGTTTAAGATCTGGTATTATTAGCCTCCCCTCTCCCCAGCTTCCCACTTTTTTCATTAATGCTTTATGTTTCTTGACCTTGTGTTACTCTGGATGAATGTTATTTTTTTTTTAACTCTATAAAGTGATTGGTAGATTAACTGGTATGTCATTGAATAAATAAATAAAGAATTTAGGTAACCCTATGCACTCTCATAATTATTATTTTTATCCTTAAATGTGGTGTCTACATCTGTACATAATAAATATTCTGGATATTGTTTGTGCATGGCGGAGTCCATTGATACAATTATTTCTTTAGTCTTGGTCACTATTCTTCTCTTAAGGCCTAAGGTGCCCTTACTCTTCTTGGCTTTCACATTGCATTTTTGATTTGTGGGAGTTTTTTTTGTTTGTTTTGATTTGGTTTTGGTTTATTTCCCTAAGATCCCCAGATCTTATTCATTTGAAGTTATCTGAAACCATGACTTCCCCATCTTGTATGTATAAAATTGCTTTTTGAATCCAAGTGTAAGAATTTTTACTTGTCCTTTAAATTCTATAGTATTGGATATGGCCTAATGTTCTGAGTTTTTGAGATCTTTTTGCATCCTGTCTTTGTTATACAGCAATCTGTGCTTTTGTCTAAGTTCATATTGCTTATAATAAAAAAAATTATGAACATTATTAGGTGACTTTAAACTGCATTAGATGTTATCAAAGGTCCTTTTCAGCTCTAAAATGTAATGGTGCCATTAAAAAAATGTATGACCAAAGAAGGAAGTTGGCTAATCATTTATTTAAAGTGAGCATGACAAGTGAGCAGTCCAAATGCTGTACTAATATTGGAAAAAAAAAAAACCAACAAAACAGAAACTCCAGGGTGCTAGGTAGATCCTCTCAGGGAATTTATAAAAGGACATAGATTAGTCTGTCACAAGAGGAGGAAAAATGTGGAGTTGTGTTATCATTGTTGGGGGGCAAATCTACACCCATGAGATTTTGAATCCATTGAAATGGAAGTATCTGTTTATAATGTTCTTTCTGAGTTTAAGATGTTTTCATGTATTTATTCACTGCCTACTAAGTATAAAACACCATAGGGTTTGAGATGAAATAAAAGGTTCATATATGAAATCATACCTATACTTGTGGAGGCTAGTGATATATAATAGAAGTCTATGATAAGTATACAAGTAACTATAGTAGAAAACAGTACAAGGTAAAAGGATAAGGGAGGTATGAGCAGAGAGATACGTCCAGTCCTTGTTGGTCTGGTCATTACTGATTGGTACAGGGGTGTTGGAGAAAATTAATCAAAGTGCTACTACTAGGTCTGTATCCTAAAGAGATCATAAAAAAAGGGGAAAGGACCCACACAAATATTTATACAAAAATATTTATAGCAGCTCTTTTGTAGTGTCAAAGAATTGGAAACTGAGGGAATGCCCATCGATTGGGGAATGGCTAAACAGGTTGTGGCATATGAATGTAATGGAATACTATTGTTCCATAAGAAAAGCAGGTGAATTTCAGAAAAACCTGGATAGACTTACATGAAGTCTGAAGTGAGCAGAACCAGGAGAACATTGTGTACGGTAACAGTAACATTGTGCAATGACCAACTTGATAGACTTAGCTCTTCTCAGCAATGCAGTGATCTAAGACATTTCCAAAAGACTAGGGATGGAAAATGCTGTCCACATCCAGAGAAAGAACTATGGAGTTTGAATGCAGATAAAAGTATGCTATTTTCTCTCTTTCTCTTTTTTTTTCTTTCTCATGGTTTTTCCCTTTTGTTCTGATTCTTCTTTCAGAACATGACTAATGTGGAAATATGTTTAATATGATTATAAAAAAAAGAAAATGAATCAAAGATT